ATTGAAAAGGACATCTTGGTGGCCCAGAAGTCCGAACCTGACCCTGGGACAGGTCCTGCTGGCACTATGTTTGTACCCACCAGTATCAAGGCTAAGGTACTCAACTGGCTCCACACTCATAAGATTTCTTGTCACGCAGATGTTGCTCGTATGCTAGCTCTGACTAAGAGACACTTCTGGTGGCCCTCCATGAACGAGGATGTAAAGAATTACGTAGCCGCTTGCCCCACATGTGCCAGAAGTAAGACTGACAACCAGCCTCCAGCTGGAAAATTACAGCCACTTCCCACCCTTAGCCACCCATGGTCACATATATCTCTAGACTTTGTTACTGGGTTGCCCCCCTCTGATGGTAAAACTGTTATTCTCACTGTCATTGACAGATTTTCTAAAGCAGCTCATTTTGTTCCGTTACCCCAGCTTCCCACGGCCTTGGAGACAGCCCAGCTGTTGGTACAACATGTTTTTCGAGTTCACGGCATCCCATCGGACATCGTTTCTGACAGAGGACCCCATATCATATCACAGGTATGGAAGAACTTTTGTAATTCTTTAGGGGCCTCTGTCAGCCTAACATCGGGTTACCACCTGCAGTCCAATGGTCAGGCCGAACGGGCCAATCAGGAATTGGAGGCTGCCCTCAGGTGTGTGGTGGAGGACAACCCCTCCACATAGAGCCAACATCTGGTATGGGTGGAATATGCCCACAACACCCACACATCATCTGCTACTAGTTTGTCTCCATTTGAAGCCTCCCTTGGTTACACTCCACCATTGTTTCCCAGTCAAGAAGGCGATCTAGCAGTTCCCTCTGTTCAACATCACTTCAGGAGATGTCTTCGGGTCTGGCGCCAAACTAAGCTCGCCCTACTGCGCACAGCTGACAAAAAACAAGGAGATTGCAGATTGTCACCGATCTGCAGCTCCATCTTACAAGGTTGGACAAAGAGTCTGGCTGTCGACCCAGAACATCCACCTCAAGGACACCCCACGTAAGTTGGCTCCCTGCTTCATCGGTCCCTTTAGCATCACGCGTATTCTGAGTCCCACGGCAGTCAGACTCCAGCTACCTGCATCTATGCGGTTTCATCCCACCTTCCACGTGTCTCAACTCAAGCCCATCGCAGAAAGCCCATTGTGCCCTCCTGCCAACCTCCCTCCGCCCCCCCCCCGTCTCAATGACAACCATCCAGCCTTCACGGTCCTCCGCATCCTGGACGTTCGGCGCCGTGGGCGGGGGTTTTAGTATTTGGTCGACTGGGAGGGTTACGGTCCAGAGGAGCGCTCTTGGATCCCGAGGTCCTTCATCTTGGACCCCAGCCTCATCACCACGTTCTTCAGGGCACACCCAGAGAAGCGCTTCAGGTCGCCGGGAGGCGACTCTTGAGGGGAGGGTAATGTAAGGATCCTACCCTGCCTTCCTCTCTCCTCTACACTCCTAATTGGCTCCAGCTGAAGATGATCAACTCAACACCCAGGAGGAGTATAAGATTCAGGAACCACTCTGCAGGTGCTGGGACATTGCCTACCAACGGTAGTTGTGTTCTGGCCAGTTGTTCTGTGATATTGGTGAAAACTAATATTGTGTTTTTTCTCTGCGCTTCCTCAGAGTTTGGATTTTGCTGTTACCTGCCCTGCTTGAGTTCCATGTGAACTGTGACTCCTCCTGCCTCTCTACAATTGCTGGATGCCTTCCACCACTTGCCTAAAATCTACTTGTTGCTTCACCTTGTGCCACAGGGCACCATCTGGACAAATACCATCTCATTCTGTTTCCTGCTACAAACTGTAAGAACTATTCTACAATAAATCCTCATCCAACCACAGCCCTTTAAAGTACCGCTTTCTCCCCAGGTGTTCCCGTTCCCTTATGGATGTCTTATTTATCACAACCCTGTAAATAAACACTGTAAACTTTTATCTGAGTCCTGGTGTCTGTTCAGTTCTGGTCTTTCGTTCTGGGTACACCCGCAATCAACACACACATTTAGCCTTTATTTATCCAGGTAGTCTCATGGAGTCACGAGAACTCATTTTCTAGAGAGACCTGTTTAGGAGCAGATGGTGGGAGTTAAGGGCCTTGCTCAGGGGCCCAGAGTAGGACCAATGAGGGTGGAGGCAGGTGTGGGTGTTTCACCTTTTCCACCCACATTTTGATGTTTACTGTACTGGGAGGTGAACCAGCGACTTTCCAATCAAAGGCCCATCTTCTAACCTCTGCGCCACCACTCCCCCACATAACAACATATCATAATGATCATGGCCATATTAAAATCTCACTGGTTTCCTTCCAGATGTGTTAAACAGCTACTGGTCCCCCTGATGTTTCCAGGTGTCTGTGGTCAGTGGATGAAAAGCCTTGCATGAACAAGATGATGCTGGAGATCATCATTTGACGAGAGCTTCCACCTTCTAACTGTGAAGAACAAGAGCAGCTCAGTGATTCCCTCAAGGCTCAGTGAAGGTGCTGAGAGCTGCAGAGAGGCTGATCCATGGAGCTTCAACACAGCAACCTCCAAACATGTCCACCCTCACACACATCGTCCATGAAGACACTGGACCAGAGCACAAGATAATAAGACACTGATAACAACAACAACAATACACATTCACAAATGATTCAGACAATTTGTTTTTTTTATTGTTTTGTTTTACAATTGAAAAACAGTTTGTTATCCACTGTTGTCATCACTCTTTGTTAAAATCCAGGTCTCTCTTATAAATGAGTCCTATTGGCTCAATGGGACTAACCTTTATCAATAAAGGTTGAATGAATATAAATATATACATAATGATTTATTCAACCTTTTATTTATACAGGTTGGCTTCATTGAGCCACAAGGACTCATTTACAAGAGACCTGCTCCAGACAGAACATATAAAGTACAGACAAGAATAACAGTAAACAATG